ATGCATGCGTTTGGTTTAAAGGAAAATCCTGAATTGAAATCATTGGATTTCAATGAAATCCTACAAACATTGGAATTTGAAATCTCAATCGGAGTAATTTTTATGGGATTTCATAAGGTTTTATTTGTAATAATGTTTTAAAATATGTTAAAAACATTTGTTTTGTGATAATTAATTAATAAAAAGATGACTTAATTATTATCTTTATAAAAAATTATATTATTAAGCCTAAATTAAATTACTTTGTTACTGAACTTAAATTAAATTAAAATAAAAAACTAAATTAAAAAAACAACATAAAAAAACAAGAACTTTTAAATAATTAATTTAATACTAATATCAATAAATAAATATATTCAAATTTTTATGTTATTTTTAAATTTATATTTTATTTAAAAATAAAAATATTATTGTTTTCTCAAAAGCACATAAAATCGTATTATTTCAACAAAAAAAAAATTAAGATGTGTCTCAACTCTCAGTATATTATCCAAGTATCATTCTAGTGTAATATAAAAATTAATTAATAAATTTATTAGTTAGAAATAAAATAAAGAGATATAGGAAAAGGACAATCCTTCCTAGTTGGTCGCCGATTTTGACCGTAATAGGGACATTCTCCGAAATTCATGTTACATAATTTCTGCAAGTTTTTAATATCTTACAATATCAAGGTTTCTTCTAGAAGAAACTTAGAGGGAGAGAGGGTGAATAGTTACGACATTATTGATCTTTCTAGAACTATGAAAATATTGTATTAATTTATATTATATAACCTTTATGAAATTAGGTGCGCAGCCCATGGTTTGTTCTATGACACGTACTTTATTAAAATAAATAATAAATAAATTACGAGACTATAGATTTTTAATCTGCTTAAGCTGGTTTTCTTATTACTTAATTAAAAAAAATGATGTATTAGTGTTACGTAGTAATGAAATATTTGTGTTATTTAATGTCAACTCGACGTTTCCCATTCTTCTCTTTCTTACATCATTGCTGACATATACATTTGAATTTTTTTAATTATTTTATTATATATTTTTATAAAGAGAGTGACGTTTCATACGACGAATGCTATTTAAATAAGAAAATAAATTGTATCATGACACGTCATCCAATCTTATGGTTATGATTAACTTATTAAAATTAGGTTAAAAGTGGAATTAGTTGTTTGTTTACTTCTTAATAGTTTTATTCAGAGGCAACCTCTGAATCGTTAAGAGGTGAATCTTGTTTGACAAAAAAAAAAAAATTCAATCTTTTAATGGTTCTAAAACTCTCTGAATGATTTTGTATATTGGATTTCCCTTAACCATTAAGAGCCATAATTTCATTGTACAGAATTATTAAACAATTATATTTCATTTTGCACTATATCATGTGAGACTCTTAATCATTTTGCACCAAATCATTCAACAATTGTCAATCATTTGGATTTAAGTATTATCTAATTAATTATTTGAATCCCTAAAAAATCTCATAATATCCATAAGTACATTTATTTATTTTTAAGATGTTGCTACATTTTAGACATCAATTTTGTTATTATATATATATATATATATATATATATATATATATACACACACACATACATACATACATACACACACAAGGGCTTAATCAAATGAGAACCGAGTTGTTTGTGGTAATTGTGAGGTTCAATATGAGCCAATCATTTAAATAATTAATGTTATATCCTAAAATAACATAAAGGGTAAATTGGTAATGTTATAATTATAAAATCCTAGATGCTTTAGGTACTCTTCTCCTTCGTCTACTTCTTCTCCGGCCACCCCCATCTCCCCCATCTACTTCTTCATCGACGGTTTCCCCTTCCACAACCATCTCATCTTCTCCTTTATTAGAAAACCTTATCTCTCTTCTTTGATTTGGCCCCATGAAATCAACAACCCTTTTTTGGTTTTGCTTTGACTGTTTCTTTGATGGCTTCAAAGCATTGATTGGGACTTGCTGGAGTGGTTCACAAGGCAGACGACGGAGACGAGACACGACAGAGGCGGTGCGAAGGGGAAGATTCGGGTGTGCTTTGCCTATTTCCTCGTCCCTGTGTTTGTGTTAGTTCGTACGGTGGTGTAGGGGTGCGTGTGTATGTTGCGGAAGGTGAAAGGGAGAAGGGAGATAAGGAGATGGTGGCTGCAACAATGAAGGGGTGCCCGGAGAAGATGGATTGGGAAAGGAGGAAACGGGTGAAAATTCTGTGGTACATGGTGGTACCCAAATTGGTAATACATTGGGTAATGGGTATCATAGGGTGGCCGGAGAAGATGGATTGGGAAAGGAGGAGACAGGTGAAAATTATGTGGTACATGGTGGTACCCCAATTGGTAATACATTAGGTAATGGGTATCATAGGGTGGCCGTAGAAGATGGATTGGGAAAGAAGGAGACAGGTGAAATTTTTGTGGTACATGGTGGTACCCCAATTGGTAATACATTGAGTAATGGGTATCACAGGGTGGCCGGAGAAGATGAATTGGGAAAGGAGGAGACGGGTGAAAATTCTGTGGTACATGGTGGTACCCCAATTGGTAATACATTGGTACCTGCCGGATTAATGTTCACCGGAGGCCGGAGATCGGAGATCGGAGAGAGGAGAGAGGAGAGAGGAGTTTTTAAAATACCTAAAATGTCCTCTAATTATAATTTTAACTCAAATTACCATAATTACTAATTTTCTTATTTATCCATTGATTTGTGGTTAAGATTGGATCTCACAGTTACCACAAACAACTCAGTTCTCCCTTGAATGAGCTCTTATATAATATATATATATATATATATATACATATGTAGGGAAGGGTTCAAACGAGAACACTTTCATTTTACGAAAACGTAAGAAAACATTTTTATTATAGACAATCACATGTGATACTATTATTTCATCACATATGATATACATGTGATACTAAATTAGAGACGTGGACGATTTTCGATGTGATCTTAGTTGCGGGCCAAGTCGCCCTAACACCACTAAGTCCCCTCACAAGTATTATCACATGTGATAAGGGTGTTGTTGATATGATATTATAATTCATCAAGACCATCACATGTGATGCTAAATCATAAACGTAAACAACATTTGGCACGGCCTAAGTCGTAGAACACGTCGTTCATACATCACAGGGTCCCCTCATGCATATTATCACATTTGATAAAGGTGTTCCCACATTCTCGTAAAATGGAGGTGTTTTCGTTTGAACCTCCACCTATATATGTATATATATATATATATATATGTGTGTGTGTGTGTGTGTGTGTGTGTATATATATATATAGGGTATATTTCAAATGCAACCATATTCATTTGTCAACCAATACAACCCAATCAATTGAGATATTTATAGAAATGATGAGAGTTCATTTATTATGATTTGAATATTTGTGGAAGATGACTAGAGTTCATTAATAATGATCAATACTTTATATTAGGAAACGATCAATACTTTATATCAGGAAACAATCAAAATTTTTATGAAATTACATATTCATCAAATTAAATGGACGGTTGAGATTGAGTTGTATTGGTTGTACAAATGTAAAGGGTTGTACAATAACTCATATATATGTATATATATATATATATATATAGAGAGAGAGAGAGAGAGAGAGAGAGAGATGAGCGATCAAATGAAAACCACCCTCATTTGTACAAACCGTACAAACCACCCTCATACGTCGATTTCATTGTTTAATCTTATGAAATTTTTTCATGAGATTGTTTAATATTGTGAAATTGTTTCATATAATACTTTTTTTTGATGAATTTGTTTCATATATGGTTATGAAATTGTTTCATATAATATTTAATGAAATTTTAATGAAACTGTTTCATGTATTTCTCTAAAATTAAAATAATGAAAATGATAATATCCATGATTAACACTCTCCACAATAAAAATGGTTAATCAACCTCTCATAATTACAAAAAAAATGAACAAAATGAAAAATTATGATTGATTGAATGAGATTCACATGGTTTGTACAAATTAGGTGATTTTTATTTGAACGTTCCTCTATATATATATTTATATTGTGGGAGTCAATCTCGGGCGACCCATTTGACGGGCGTCACCCTCCTCTCCATTTCGTCAAAGCATCTTGGTCCTACTCCTAGGTGTGTGTATCTATACATGTACATGTACATGTACATGTATAGTGTCTAATTTAACTTTTAATTTGTAATATATTAACCAAAATACTCTTGAGTTTGCTAAATTTAACTCAACAAACATAAAAATAACCCTCATGAAATCCATAAATAATTAACATCCACATAAATCTATAATAAACAAATTCCATAAAAAATGACCCAAAAACCTATAAATTAGTAATAATCAACGATTGACCTTTCACCACCAAATAAGTAACTCAGTAGAAAATAGAGTTCATTAAATTATAAACCATATTAATACCACACTTCTAAAGATCCCGCATCATTCATTTGGATTATTTTCAATTAAAAAATATATTAAAATCCTAACACCAATATTATTTACTTATTAGCTCATCACGGGATATTGTATTAAACTTCAGGGGTAAATAGGTCAATGGCATTTTTATAAGGACATTTGAATTTGGTCGATTAGACCCTTCAAAATATCTTCTAACAATCCAATGTTTTATTATCGTAAAAACAGGTTTTCTTCCGTATAATACAATAACAGTTACCAATTTTAGAATATCTGTGACATTTTTGACATAAGAATAAACATGGGATTATGACCGTCACGATTTGTTATCTCTGAAAACTAGCAGATATTATTGTAGCACATTCAACCATAATACATTAAACATATATTATGTGTAATAAAAGGTATATGATAAGAGTGAAAGTATACATTAAACTCTTGAAAATCACTTAAAATACAAGTTTCCTACATGAAATATAAATAGACATCATTATTTGTTGCATACGTGCTTGATTATTTTTTTGTGTTACACAAATTGACCGCTCACACTTTTTTTTCCATCTCTCAAGCCTCAAAGGCGGACTTTGGAAAGCTTTTGGAGATTCCGGCTGGTGTTTTCATGGTGATCTTGTCAGTTGGTGGATCGTCAACGTAGATTTCGGTCAGTGAGATCCATATCAACACCTCTTTAGACTTGACGCCAGTCAGCTTCTTGATCTTGCACTTTTGCAAGTACCCAGTGACCTCGGTGGCATACGATACTTGCTTCCCAACCTTCTCGAACTTGTGGACTATATCTTTCTTTTGTTTCACCCACATGAAGCCAGTATCTTTCACGTAACCAAGTTCTTCAATGTCCTCTGCAGGCAAAAGGCCATCGGGAAGCTCGTATTCTCTGAGCAAAGACTTGGTCTTTTCTCTGCAAATATCATCTCCGGTGATGATTTCTGCGCATGCTCTAATCTCGGGGGTAATCGGAGACATTTTTCCGATCAGAGTGGAATAGAATTTGGAAGTTTTTGAAGGTATTTGGTTTGGATGTGTTGGTGGAGATGTGATGTCAATGGATGGCTTTTATAGCCATGTGGATAAATTCGTGACCTTGCTTTTTGGTTTAATTACCAAAAATGCCACTTTTCCACCTCTTTCTATGGTCAATATGATTAGTACCTTTTGTAAAAATATATGTAATTAAAATAATATTAAAAAAATTAAAATAATATTTAAAAAAAAAGTTATGTTCTTATCAATTTTATTAAAAGAAATTC